AACAAAAAGTTCCTCAGGTACGGTACCAAACCTGCCAAAACCTCACAAAACCTGCTGTTGGAGTGTGGCAGGTTTTGGGCAGTTAGGGTTAAAAAACAAAGTCGTGGTTATAAAGAAATTTGTCTGGTCCCTACAACTTTGATAGTGTTGGATTTACTTTTGGGTCACCAGACTTTTGGTTGGTCAATAGATCAGGCTCTTGGATTTTGCAGTGCTCCAGATTCCAGACTTTGGATATCCTAAATTCATAATGTCCAGAGCATGTTACATATCACATAAAAGCAAAAGGGAATAAATTTTTATGACAGCAGGTTTAGTTCATGAAGTTCTTTTTTTACTTTGATGAATTTGCCCTCCACTGAAATTCTGTTGTGATGTAAACCGGGCTTTGTTTGAGATCAGGAGGTCAACTGCATGTGGAAAATGCATGTACATGAGTGTTTTGTACATGTAGCTCTTGACGTGTAATCCCTGAAGTTGGGTAGCTTTAAACAACTCCACAAGGTCTAAAGAGGAGCTAAACTGGTAAACAAAATGTTTCAAGAAGCAGACAAGATTGCTTCCACCATTCCTGCGTTGCTTGAACAGCAATGCTTGAATGCAACTTTGAGAAGGCTGAAAGGCTTGCACGTCTGTAGGGTAGTGGCACATCATCTGGCATCATATGGCAACCAGTATGAGAAAGTACTTGTATTTGTCCCGCCATTAACAATCAAAGGGTTTGTTTGGTCGTGTTTTCAGCTTACAACATGTGCGTACATGTATCTCTCTACTCCTGAATGTGTGCATGTCACTTCTTATAAAAAACAAGGCACTTTCCTGTACTATGACCTGTATGCCCATTGAAAACAGAACAGCACAATTACGCAAAAAAACATGACTGGGAGTTGCCAGGTGCAAAACTGAAGACTTTCAGCTGAATGTGGAGGAGATGTTTGTGACCCACCCAAGGAGCAACACAAGTTGCCTCAAATAGCTTCTCACAGCGCAAAATGTCCTCCATTCTTCCTGGACACAGGGATCTCGGGGAGGAGCTGACATGCCCACATTGTGGGGAGGCCTTCCTCAAGCAAGAAATTGTCAAGGACAATTTTGCCAGGAAGAAGTTGGAGAAATGGAAAGTGTACTGCGCCAACAGAGCGCGGGGATGCAGAGAGCAGATGCTGTTGAAGATGATGGACAAGCACTTGCAGCAGGAGTGCGACTATGAGGTGATCAGCTGCATGTACCACAGCAAGGGGTGCCTGAAGCGCGTTCAAAGAAACCAGCTGGTCCAACACTTGGAAAAGGAATGTGCCTTCCGCCGGCAAAAGTGTGGATACTGTGGTGATGAGATCATAGTGAATGAACTGGAGGTACGTCTAATCCTAAAAGAGCCTTCCCTTTTCAGCCTTCTATAAGAAACAAGGGACAAGGTGAAAATCATCCTCCCTTCATATTTTGGTCATTCTAATGAAGAATTTCAAAATGTGTTTCACAATTGAATATTTCCAAATCAGTTTTTGCTCAACAGGACAAAGAGTTTTGCGATCATCACAAAAAATTCACTATTCAACATCCTATTTGGTAAAGTGACTTCTCATTGATAATGAGATGAAATAACCGGTACCCTCAACATGTGCAAGGGCTTGGCACAAAAATTTGGTGCTGGTACTAGGAAGAAGCATGTGCTCCTCTACCGCCCTTGTCCCCATTTCCCTAGCCCCGCTCTTTTAGGATTAAGAAATGGGTTGAGGAGCTGTCCATAAAGTACATCATGTACATGTCAGTGTGTGCACAGAGGGAGGAAGGTGTTGATATGGAATACACCTTGCATACATGGGGTCCAAGGCAGTGCATGTACACCATCTAGTGCTGCAAGTAGGTGCCAAGGTTTGGTTCGGGTTCAGTTCGGACACGGTTCGGAAATTTTTGGCCAAACTTCGGATTCGGTTGGGGTCCGGACATGTACACACAAACTTGTACAATGCACACTGAGACATCAAAATGCACGCTACGCACATGCCATATACAGTACTTCCGTGTGTAAAATACGTTCATACGAGCAATGAATCTCCTCTCTATTCCCATCCACAAGCAACTTCAATGTGAAGAACTGTTTCCCTAAAGTTTGTTTAGGATTCCATAGAAAGTTACCGTTGGAGGTGTGACAGTTTCCGACTGTGTTTTGCTGACCAAAAGCGGTTGTGTTCGGACCACGCTTGACTCAACAAAGCTTCAAACTGAAGTGGTACCACACTTACAAGTGCTGGTGCCGCACAACTCGTCGTCCACTTTTCGTTGTGTTTGCTTTTTCATCACGTTTTCCTGCGTGCATTCTGTGCACTGTCAATGCCATGTCATATTAAAGCCAAACATCCGAATTGACAAGTGTGGTTCGGTTCGAAAGTGCCAACGATTTTTTTTTGTTCGGTTTGGCAGATCGGCTGCAGCGCTATTTACATGTACTCGTATGTAGAGCAATCAAATAGGATGAAATTAATGCACTTAGTCCTTTTTACATCTATTGGGATACATTAAAATGTCAGTATAAGACATCACCTGTACCCCATCATGTGAATCTGACATTGTGGCTCTGATAAATCAAAAGGCAATGTTGACTGTGTAAGAAATATGGAGGGAGGCCAGGGGGCCAGAATCACTACGTATTGGCAGGTGGAATATACCGGCACATTAAGAAATGAACATGTGCACATGTACATACTTGTACTTTATGGATTGCCTATAATGCTTTGATCAGCGATTTTGTGTGATTTTATTAAAGCAGGACATTATCTTAGTCTTGTGTGGCTTGTTATGCTTAAACATATTTACTATGGAAGTTTTAAGGAGTCTGCTGTACACTGGACTAGGGTAAAAGGAGTTGGCAGCAGCATTAGGAATACATGAATGGTTGATCACATGGGCATAGGAAAGCAAAACAATAAAAACTGCTTTCAAATTTTCAAAAGTTTCAACCACTGACATCTGCTATATTCTATGAGCTGAAATTCCACCAGCACGTTCATTACCAATCCAACCAGCCATTCCCAGGTTGTCATTTCAAGGGAACATGCGGGTGTCGGTGGGTAGCTTTCCATGCAGTGCATACTTAACAACAGCTCACTGCTTACTTTTGCCTAGTGTTCTTTGGGATGAAAAGCAGGGTATTATAACTTTGCTATCTGGTCAACCTTATTTGGCCATCTCACATTATTGATCACACAGAAAAATGACGTTAGCACATGCGCGAACAAATTTTGAAATGGCTTCCCTTGTCATCACATAAGAATATTAATTTTTTTTCATCACATGGGGATAAAGGCAGAAGACTCTCCAATTACACTGTCTTTTTCCAGGGGTGACATTGTATCTGACAGTTTCTAGTCAGCCCAGTTGCTTAGATCGTATTCTTTAAATGATTGAAACATTCCTTTGCAAAGTGAATTCATGTAAGTTTAATATTTGGCCATAATTTTGAATAAGGGGCTAATAAAAATTTTCAGTGTTTTTAATTTCAATTGTTTTTTGAAATGATAGGTGGGTCAAGGTAAATTTTTGAAATTCACTTTTCATAAAAAAAAAAAAGGAAAGAAATCAGGTTTTTGACTCACATGAGCAACATGTACATGTACTTGTGCCATGCCAGCATTCCATAAGTGCGGTCTTTTCCAACTTCATAGAATGATCTGTGCACTGTACACGTATCATATACGGTGTGAAACTCCATGGGTGAAGGTGATATTTTATTGGACTTGTTGGTTGCATCCGAATCTGTTGAAAGCTAGCTACATGTACGTGGTGCTGTACGATCTTTAGTTTCCCTCCATTGGAAATACGTCGAGAAGCACAATCGACCTTGCCGTAGCTGTGGAAGCCTTTATTTTGAGCATTAGCTGAGAAATGCTAAAAACCAACGTGATCACGTGAAACCAATGCACAGGCTTGGTAGGTGCACCAGCACCGTACAGCATACATGACATTATCTCACAGCAAACAAAACGATATGTTATCTGGAAGTGTATAAATATTATCATTAATATTTGTAGATGAAGGTACAGGGAATCAAATATAAAACAGCCGTCATGAGTGGTACTTGGCAAACTCTGCTGGCTTTCACACAAATGTGAAGCAACTTGCATCATGTCACACAAGTTGTGTGCTGGGAGCAGACAAACAAAAACACGAGGAGAAGAAGCATGCATTTAGTACTGCTACCGCAGAAAAAAAAGCAAGAACGATGTGGGATGGCTGGGAGCCATGAACCTGAAAACAAGAAACGATCAAAGGTTTCACAAGTATTTTCAAGAGGTGGTTAAAATTGGATTGCTCTTCATGCAGAGGTATTTCAGTGCAGGTATTTGCATATTTTCATGCATAGGTACATGTATTTCAGTCTCAGTGCACGTATTTTCCAGGGTGTCTGAAGCCCAACTTCAGACCGAGCAATGGGCAGTCTATGAAGGCAACCCATTTCAGCTGACGCGCTGCCGCATACTGGTAATTAATACAGAATATCACACGTCAGTGTTTTGCATGTTTTTATCCGGGACGTGCTATTTAGACAGGAAAGTGCCGTAAACGAGAGCGCTGTAACAAAAATAAATGTACATAGTCAATGGAAGAACAACCAGGGATGCAAGTAAGAGCCAGAAGAACATTACAGGCCTACCAGGGAGGGCTGTAACAGAACTTGTATGTGTGGTCGTGGGGTGACATTCAACATGGCTGCCACACACATACCGTATACAATACTGACTGAATGAGCAAAAATCAGGATTTTTGATCGAATAATGTGGGGGTGGGAAGGTCAAAAGTAGTAAACAAACATGAAATTTTAAAACATTGAAAATTTTTAATGGCCCCTAAAAGCATAGCTGTTGTCAGTATGTCTCACAAAGAATAAAGATTATATTAAAACTGCATATTTTACAGAAATCAACCTTCTTAAATTTGTTGAACAAAGGTGCAGTATTTTTATTTTCATTACAAGAAGACAGCAAAAAAAAATTTAGCCAGGAAATTAATCTACGAATGTCTTCTTTTGGTGACTTTTAATTTCAAATTGTATGTGACGCAGTGTAAATAATGTTGTGAAAACTTAGAGAATTCTCTGGTTTGGAGAAAATGCTGCATGTTTCATGAAAATGTAAGACTGGGGGCTCGTTTGTTTCTGATTGAGATAAGAAACGTCAGGATCATGTCAAGGCTACCATGCCTGGCCACGTTGTCTTACATTTCTTGAAGCTAACCCGTAGGAAGGAAGCTGACACCGGCCCCAGTTATGAAACCATGGGCCGCTGTGTGTTGGTTGGGCTGCTGTTGTTCCAAACTCGGGCCTCCACTAACTTTGACAATTTCTCCATGCTGTGACTGTGCAAGCCCCACATTCACAGCTCCGGAGGTCACATTTTGCAACCTTAGTACCCGGATAACGTCATTGTTGTGGTAGCCAAACGTTTGATAATATTGAAAGGTAAGCTAATTTTTTTTTTAATCAAATTCAGTTTGCTAAAGAATGAGACCCTGCAAAGCACAGATGATTAGATTTTCATGTGTATGCTGAACGTTAAATAAGATACATAAATCTGTAATTTTATTGCATGACTTGGGGCTGACCAGAGATTGTTAAAAACTTCTTCGTCAATTTGATACTTGATAAGGGCGGCCTTTAAGTTAAACACAATACTCACTAAAAAAAATCCAATTTGATTTGATTTATTGAGTTTAACTGATTGTGACACATTAGATGATGAGTACCTTAAATATGGAGAAACCTGCCAATCTTTATTTGTCATTTGATAGTATGTTCACACATTTGTATTTTTTTTTCCATTTGGCGCAATTACAGAGATGCTGAGATGATGATTTGGAATTTCAAAGATGACTTTGATGATTGCAAGGAAAGAAGTCAAGATGGGTCGAAACTGAGATGAAGTGCACAATGATGAACGGCATTTTATTGAAATAAATTTATTTAATGTTTTCAAATTGTTAATAATTTATATTAAATGAAAGACTAGAAAAGGGGGACTTAGATGTTAAAACTTTCAAACACACATATGCTATGATGGTATTTGGCTTATATTGGCCTTGCTGAAGTGCATCAACTGTGAATAAAAACAAAGATTAGTCTTTCAAAAAGGGATCTGACAGTGGTTTTAAACAGAATTTTTTACCAGGGCACAAAGGAACCAGTCCATTCCAGAGATGAGTGTCACTATGTAAAAGCTTGCCCCGAATCAAGAGGTACATGTACAGCAACAGCATTTTTAGTCTGGATAATTCAAATTATATTTGTGTGCAATCAGATGACTCAGTGTACCGGATTTTATGCAAATTTAACTCCCAAAAGCCTTATTGCCTATTTCATTATTTAAAGTCTCTAAACAAATGAGATCACGAATTATCACGAATCCAGTGAAACATACCCAAATGTGCTTATTCCTCAACCACATGTAAGTACTGTACCTATTGAATTACATGTGAACCTGACCTTCTGAACCCAAAATGAGCAAACAAGATCGGACAGGCTTTCTCAGTAGAAGCATTAAGCTGGATAGTGACAATATTGGGAAATAAGAACTCTTAAGCTACAAAGATATGTAATACAAAACTGCTGCAAAAGTACTGGCTAACTACATTGACCTAACATACAAGTCTCAAAATGTGGAGGGCCTGACATTTTGATCTGAGCAGAATCTTTCTTGAAGGCAAAATGACAAGTGGACAGGACAAACAAGCAAACGGGTAATCAACCAAGCATGGATGAATGCAAGAGGACAAAAGGAAAGGTCAAGAAAGCTGCAGGCTGGATAAAGGGGCAAGGGATGAAAGGACTGCAAGAAAGGCATGGTTGAACAACAAAGGAATGTAAGGTGGGAAGAGATTAAAGAGAAAATACAATGGATGGAACTGGATCCCAAGTGGGAAGGGGGTATCATCTTGTTGACTTTCATGAAATTGTGTAGAATTATTGCTATGCCACCACCTGCACACACCGTGTGTACGGTCAAGAAGCTCGAAGTCAGATGGCGTCGGTTCATTTTGTGAGCTGTGTCTAAGCAGGTTTCAGCCAGTTTGAGCAGATCATTTTCCAAAGGCAACCTCACCAAAGTTCAGTTCTTTTCCTGAATTTGCTCTGCATGTTTAGGGACTGTGATGTTGGATCACAGAAATGAGCTACCGCTATATAAAAACTAGAGGGCTGACTCATGTACGTATACAAAGTGATGCCTGCTGGGCACATCCATGTTTATGCACAGACTTATGGAAAACCCGAAATTTTGTGTGGCTTTTGTACGGCTATTTGCATATCTGCATCTGTATTCTAAAACGATGCGTCAACAAAGCCGATATGCTACCAACAAGAACGCATAATCAGTAAATGAGCGTATCATCTTGCTCTGGGCCAAAAAAAACTGCAAGCAAATGCGCTGATGCACTGCACATGAATTTTGCCGCGACTTTTTTTATTGGATTTTATCGGTACCCGATGTGCGCACACAACAGCTGCTGCCCCAGAGCCATCAACTAACTTAACACTTACTGAATTAAGGGAACGACTTTTTAATTCACTTAATCTTATTCATCGAAAGACAGCCATTGAAAGACCTTTATACAAAATTGGACGACCTTGCTTGAATGTTAGGGAAACATTTGTTTTAAAATAATCAGCTATTGATGTACCGTCTTATCCAAAAGACGTGCTGACATTCGCATACATGCATGTTGTACTTGAGCGTTGCATTTAGAATACATTATTCAATATTCATTCTATCTGATTTAGAATGAGAAGTTAGCGCTCTTATTTATATAGCTCTTTGGATCACAATTAGTATTTACTACGATGACCAACGGTTTCAAGAACATGCAGCTATTTCAGATTAATCTGGCACACAGATGATTTCTGTATATGTACATGTATACTCGATGAGTGCATGGGTTCCAGTAGAGTCATTTCCATCGACAGAATTCTTCCTTGATGCCATTTACTTACACAGACTCATGAGCATGGCCATCAAGTTGTAGTTGAGAATACCTTGTGTACCTGCTAACCATTCCCATTTCATTGCAACTATTCTGATTTTTAAGCTTTTAGGCCACAAAAATTGGCACATTTAATTTCCATAACAAGAAAAAATTAAAGAAAAAAGGTGTAGTAAAAGAGGGCACTAGTCATGAAAAAGAGGGCACTAGTCATAACAAAAGAGGGCATAATTGCCCATAATGTTTCACACACTCATAAATGCACGGCTGCTTGTTTTGCTGTGGGCTTGTAAAATAGGTGTTCCCAATTCTAACTTTTCAATCTTGCCAGGTATGGGCTTGTAGCGTAAGCCATTCGCTCATATTCCTGTGAGAGGAGTACAATTAACTGCCAGGTGTACATGTTTGTGATGAAAAATGGTTGGATGTTCCCCTCATCTCAATATACAGTTCGTGTGGAAGGTACTAATTACATGTGACACGCTCAACCATATAGTCGCCAGGTTGCTAATTTTGCCACTTATTGTCAAGTCTGATTGGTTTTTGCAGTACTTGCAAAATAAGGCACCTGTCAACTATCCGCCTTGAGCAAAAGCACCCCCTCATCAGTTGAAAAGAGCCATGTTGGTTGGGAGTGCTCTTTTGTTGTTAGTGATGTGACCATAATGAGCATTTCACAGTGATGGGCAGTTCTACCAAAGGAGCCTACATTGCTTGGAAAATTGCGCCCTCTCTTGGTCCAGCTCAACACTTATACGGTCATGCACATTACAAGGCTTGGTCCAAGCCAAGAGTGGATCGGGGTGGGGTGCCAACAGGGTTGTGGTACCCAAAAGAAGCAATTTATTTTACATTTTGGGGGGGGGGAGTTTTTGATTTGGTTCTGTTTTCTTTTCCCCCAACAGATGATTAATTTTCAAGACACCTTGTAACTTCTTGCTCTCGATTATCTTGGTTTTCAGTTACATGAGAAAGAGTGTAAGAAATTTCTGGATACATGCCCGAACAAGTGTGGAGAAGAACTCATCCATAAAGAGAAAGTAAGTATCACATTTCTTTACTTTTGATGGTGATTCTACGGAGGAATCAATAGTAATGGAGTCAACCCAGGCTCTGTCATGTTTTATACCCAGTTGCATCAGTGAAGTTCAGAAAATGACTGAAAGATCCCGATATTTTTTGCTATTTGATGGCTTTACAAAATGTGACTAATATCTAATTTGGCCTTTTCACACTGTCATCTACCCATGTACATGTATATTTCTACATTTGTAAGCTACACGTAACAAGTACCCAGGCGAGATTGAACACAGGTACATGTGCCAGTAATGTAGGACGCGTCATTCACACTTATCTTATCATTGTCCTAACATTACCCTAGTAGTAGTACTGTTTTACTCGTGTGAATCGTGTGAAATATGCACACGAGGCATTTCCTGTGTTATTGACAAAAACCATTCTCCTGTTCAGATGGTATGTTTTAACTGGATTTTTGGGGTCTCTGGTTCTAGCTCTCACTATTGCTAGTGGGTCCATAATGGCAAATAATGATGAAACAATTGAGAGGGTACAATTGACAAATAGCTCGGGTGCATTTTGGCACATTATTCCATGTGCAAATGTAACCCCAGTCCTCATCTACAGTGTTTCCAATCAGCTCCCTACAGTGTGGGGAGGAGCACAGCACAGAGACCATTTATTGTACTACCAACTTCCACATGGGAGAGCTCCAAATTTAATTTTTCTACAAGAGCCTCCCAAACTTAGTCCTGACCAGCGCATCATTTTTCCTAGGAGGAGCACTGTTCCCTGGAGGCATTACCCTAATTGGACTGTTTATCAGTGCAAAAAGGGGTTACTTGATACTGGTGTGTTCACCCCATATCCAACGTGAGCATTTTGGATAGTGTGAAAGGTCCTCAAATGTCTTGATAATGTTTTGCATTGTATAACAATGTGCCTTTTTTATGTTGCATCATGTTTAATATGCGAAGCTGGCAGCTACATGTAAAGCTACACGAGGCCAACGGTTTACAGCAAGAGAATTTATTGTATGAAGAATGAGGTTTTACCAAACAGTACTGATAGCAAACACTAGATGATGATACACACGCAAGAGGGTCTGCTGCACAGTAAGCATTACAGATTATACTTTGCACGTACCATTGAATGAACCTGTATCAAAGAAATGACCACCTCCACTACTTACAGGAACCAATAATGGAGAGGAAAAGAGCATAGTTCCAAGCAACTCGGGAAGACACTAAGATTGCTCGCTGGGATTGCTGACTGGATTACTAATTATCTGATTCAGGGCTGTGTTTGAAGCCAGGCCTCAAAAGATGAGCTCCTGTCAACTTCATGACTTCTCAACAGCTATGACTTGTCCAGCTGCCAGGAGCTCAAGAGCCAAGCCATGGCTAAATTCTCTTACCAGCAAGGGATCATCCTAAAACATGAGCAGCGTCCCTCCCTTGAATGCAGGTTTTATTACAAACTGCTTTGATGTAGTACAAACTATTGTGTCATCAGTTGTTGAAAATATTCCCTTGATTCCTAAAATCCACCAACCAGTCTTGTCTACTATTCCTCTCATTCGAGTGCATATAACCTCCCCCTGCTGTTGAAGTGCTCAGTATTTGCAAGGTGATTGGGCCGTCTGCCACCAATAGCAGTACAACAGGAGATACAGGTACGTGCCTGCACATGGAACATTCCAAGTTAGTGCAACTGTGCAGATCATGTGGTTGCAAGGCAGACCCTCGGTCCTTTTTGCTGGCAGGCATGGGATTTGGTTATGCCCTAAAGTCCAGTCCATTTCAAGAGAAAGATCAACAGTTCAAAGGTTTGACTGACATCAAATACTCTGGACGGACCATAATTGTGAGCAGAGGAAGTCTTGTGGACTGTGTCTTCCGCATTTCACTTGTTTGTGGATCCCTCAAGAACACTGATTGCCTGCTTGATTGTGTTGAATCTCTGACAAGGATTTTTTTAAGATATTTGTTTGTGTTTCACAGATGTTTGAGATCCATCAGATGATGTAAGGTCATAAATGAACTGTATCCTTGCCAGCAACATTTTTATGTTGCTGATAAAGGTAAGCTTATAGGCTAACATCATTTTAGCAAAGGATGTGTAACTTTCCTGCTCTACTGATTGATGTACATGTAAATGCTTGCTTCCCACATAAATTATTTAACCGTGAGCCCTCAACTAAATTTTATCCATCACACTGAATTCAAACCTGTGTTTTTTGATTGGTTGGAGTAAACCTAAGCCCTTCATACATGCGTTCAGAGGATGTGCAACATCTGTTCCTACTCTGTTCAAGGCCCAGCTCTCAGACTCAGCTCCACAGCACAGGGCCAAGAACCTCCGACCCTCAAACCAAAAGCTTCCAGGTTGCGCAGCATAGATTCATATTCTGTTCAGTGAGCGTTATGCTTCAGTGTTGAAGCACCACAGCGCAGGACCGGTGGGGGTATTATAACCCCAGACTCTTCAACCATGAACTCAGAGTCAGCCGCATCTATCCAGGGTTTGTTTAATCCTTGCTCAGATCTCAGTTGGAGCACCACAGCACAAGGCAGTTGTGAGATGAGAACCTTTGACCCTTGAACCATAAGCTCATAGGTCAGGCAGCAGACTCCATTTAATCAGTTTTCAGTTGGAGCACCGCAGGACAGGGCCAGTGATGGGATAAGAACCCCAGACCCTTCAACTGTGAGCTCCTTGATCAAGCAGTTCTAAATTCCTGCTCCATGTAGTCCTTTGCTCAGTTGTCAGTTGAAGCATGAGAAAACAGGGCCAGTGGTGGGATTAGAGCCCCAAACCCTTCTACCACAAGCTCATGGATCACACAGCGTGCACCCTCATTTCTGTCTTACAAGCCTTTGCTCAGTTGTAAGTTAAAGCACCATAGCAAAGGGCCAGCGGTGGGATTAGAACCACAGACCCTTGAGATGTGAGGTCACTGCTTCTGTGTGGCATGATTGTGACTCGTATTGGCAGTTGGATATCCGCTGTGCAATACACTTTCTTCAAGAAGGGTGAGGAGTTGAACTCGAACCATAGACTCTCCAGTTGCAAGCTCCACAGCTTGCAGTGTAAGTTTATTAAAGTTGCTAAGATAATCTCTTGAGGATGAATAAGGAGACTGTCAGTCAGTACATCAGTAGTCAGTCTAACTCTGATCCACTAGCAAACAACATCAGTGCTGTTGGGCTTTCTGTATAAATTGAACAGAAGGAAGGCAATGTGTATTGGAGTTGCTGGATGCAAGGCAAAGAGAACAATAACAGACATACGAGGATAGATGAAAAAGCCTAAAGAGTGAGAAGTTTCTTGATTATCATAAACTGAACTGCTGTCAAGCCATAATGATGGAAGGTGTGCAGAGTGAATTTCCAGCTCAGTGAACCATTGACATTAATATCTCAGATGGTGAAAATAATGAGTATATTATATTCAATACTGAACACTCTTTTCAAACTTGACTTCAGAGGTGAATAAATAGAATTATAAATAGTGGTGTGGTTTTGTAACAAGTTACAGAATTGGGTGCAAGGAGTTTACATTTTCACAACATTGCGGAATGCGACATGTACACACCAAAGTGACTACAGGGAATCTGTTGGTCTTGCAGAATTCGGCTCTTAACCTAAACACATCTTTCGCAAGTAGTTGGCTCCTTAGTCTGCCTATGGGTCTCCTATACC